AGATAGTTGGTTGACAAATTCTGTTGGTTTTTGTTCATCTGAGAATGTCTCGATTTGCTCTTTCCAAACATTTTTTATTGACAACATTATAAACTGACTATACCTTCAGTAAAAATATATCCTTACGGTAAAAAAAATTTCTTTTATTGAGGTGTAGCCCGTCTATGATGTTGGGTTAGTTTCTGGTGTACTGCAGAGTGACTCAGCTTTAAATATATAGGCCATTGCAAGATAGTGAACTCCCTGTGCTGTACAGGAGGACCTTGTTGTTTATCTGTTGTATGTATAACAGTTAGTTGGTTTGCTCTTCATTTTTGAAGGATATTTTTGCCAAATACAGACTTCCGAGTGGGCAGTTCTCTCCACACTTGAAAAATACACAGCTTCCTCCTGGGCTCCCTGATTTCTGGTGAGAAATTTGCTGGAGGCATTCAGAATTTTTTCTTTGGTTTTTAGTTTTTAGTTTTAGTTTTGACTATAATATGTCAGTGTGGATTTGAGTTAAGATCCTGTTTGGAGTTTGCTCAGTCTTGAATCTATAGGTTTCTTTCCTTCTTTTTTTTTTTTTTTGTGCCAAATTTGGCAAAATTTTAGCCATTATTTCTTTGAATACTTTCCAGCCCTACCTCTGTCTCCTCTCTGGGACTGAGAATGCATGAATGTTAGATCTGTTAATATCCAGCCCATATGTCCCTGAGGCCCTGTTCATTTGGTTTCAGTCTGTTTTCTCTGTGTTGTTCAGTTTGGGTGATTTCGGTTGTTCTGTCTTCAAGTTCAGTGATTCCTCTGTCCTTTCTGCTATTGAGCCCATGTACTGAGATTTTTATTTCAGGGATTATGCTTTTTGGGTCTGGAACTCCCGTGTGGTCTCTTACCTTTGCTGTGACTTTGTGTTTCTTTGCTGACCGTCTTCCGTTTTTCCGTTGTTTCAGGTGTGTTTGTGGTTGCTCACGGAAGCGTTCTGTGATGGCTTTGTGAGTCTCGTTTGGCAGTTCTGCGCCCTCTGTCGTGCCAGCGCTCGTATCTGTCAGTCACCTTTTCTCGTTTCTGTTGAGGTGTTCCTGGTTCTTGCTATGGTGAGAGATTTTTTGTTACTGAATGCTGGACATTTTGGGTATTATATTACGAGATTCCAGGTCTTATTTATGTCTTACGTTTTACTAAGTCATTTCTGTGATTGCTCCAGCAGGGAGAGGGCGATAATGCCCGTTAGGAGCTGAAGCTCAGATTTTACTTTGGGCCTTGTTGACCTTACTTGGGAGGGGCTCCACGTTACTGCTGATTGTGGTCCGGAGTTCAGGCCTCCCCCCACGGCCTCTGCAGGTGCCATCCAGCTGGGAGGGCACTGACAGGCCCTGCTGTCAGTGGTGGAAGCCCTGACTTCCCACCTGGGCCTCCTGTCAGAGCCCCGACGTGGAGGCAGTTGGGGGGGATGGAAGTCCTGGCTCCCCATGTGGTGTCTACACTGCAGGTGGAGACTTGTTTTTCTGTAATGTTTGGCTGGAGTCTGGCAGTTACTGTTTAAGTTTTCTGTGCTTTCACTGTCCCCTCATCTCCTATGGCTGTAGACAGCAGGCTTTCTGGGGACTTTTTTTGTTTGTTTCCATTGGTGTTTCTGGGTTGATGGCTTCCCTGGCACCTAGTGTGGGATACACGAGACAGAAAGAAAACTCGAGAAATCACCACCGTGTAGTTCCTCGGGTCCTGGTCGCTGGCCAGTCTGCCGCCTTCTCTTCCCCTCTCAGTGTTTTTCATGTTTCTTTCAAATATAAAGTCTAGGGGTTCTAGCTGTGCTTAGCGGGAGGAGCAGGGGAGAGTCTGTTTATCCGTCTTTCCAGAAGCAGAAGTCCAGATTTAATAAATTTTGAATAGTTGATCCATTCATGTGACAGGCAAACTGAATGGTATAGAAGGAAGTTTCAGTGAGAATTAGCTTTCCTCCACCCGCTTCCCCCTTAGGTGGCGACAGCGTTCCTGATTTCTCGTGCTCCTTTCTGAGGTAGCGCTGCGTACACCAGCAGACACACACAGACATGTTTTTACCGTGGTGGCGTACTGCATGCGCTGTGTCGCATCCTGCTTTTTTTCTCGTAACACTCCATTTTAGTGAACCTTCTGGATTCATACGTGAAGAACTACTTCATCATTTTTCGTGGCCTCATGCTGTTCCAGTGCCTGGAGAGGCCGCGCGTGTGTGACCATTTGCACTGTTTAGGTGTTGGTCCTGTTACCTGGTATATTTATTGTCCCTTCCATCTTAGTGTCTTCTGCACATTTCTTGTGTTCTCTGTGTACACCTGAGTCAGGGTCCTGTGTAAGCTGAGGTGTGTTGGAAACAGCTGCTGGTGACTTAAGTCTTCATTCTATAATGAGTCATATGTATACTCCATAAATATTCAGAGATACTTGTCACAGCTGCTCTCCTAGACTCGGTTCTCCATCATGTTCACAAGGGCTCTTTGGTCCACAGCTTGCTTTTCCCAGGTGTCAACAAAAGATTTTGAGTATAAGCTCTCTATACCTTTATTCTCTTTCATGGGTTTAGTTGCTTCCACGTAACAGTTAACAGAAGCGTTCTTTGTATGCTTTGTTGTTGTTATTTCTGAGGGCCACTGAAACACAGGTCTGCTATGATTTGGGGTCAGAATACTTGCATCTACCTTTTAGGAAAGATAAGGTTTACTTTGTTGTCATTGAGATTTTTGAGTGAGCTAGTTTCATTCTCACTAAGTTAGCACTTTTTTCTTTAAGATGGTGATTTTTCTTTTGAGTAGATATATTGCCCTCAAATTCTTGGTAAACTTGAGTAATGTCATGAATTAAAGAACCATTTTGCCTTTGCCTCTTTGCAGTCTTTCATGTTGACTTGGCAGTTTAATTCTAAATTCACGCGTAATTAAGTTTGATCTTGCGCAGAGGGTGGAGTTGGCACTTGCACTGATAGGCTGTGTGAGGATTTTTGAGGTCTGCCGCAGGCCATCTCGCCAGGGGCCCTCTAAAGTGCTAACTGTGCATCAGATGATCCTGCGCAGTGCCTGTCGGCATGCCACTCCGTGGCGTGGACTGTGTTCAGAGATGGGTGTGTGTGTTCTACAGATTGCCTTAGTATGTTTTGGCCCTCCTGACCTTCCCAGCCCCACTCTCAGCCTCGTGGTCCTGACATGCCC